TTACTAGGAGCATCCATCTCTCATACTGGGTCTGTGAGCCAACATATTCCCAGATCAGAAGCCCGTTACTAGGAGCATCCATCTGCCATACTGGGTCTGTGAGCCAACATATTCCTAGAACAGAAGCCCGTTACTAGGAGCATCCATCTCTCATACTGGGTCAGTGAGTTAGCATATTCCCTGATCAAGAGCCCATAGAAGCATCTATCTCTCATACTGGGTCTGTGAAGCAACATATTTCCTGATCAAGAGCCAATAGAAGCATCTATCTCTCATACTGGGTCTGTGAAGCAACATATTCCCTGATCAAGAGCCCATAGAAGCATCTATCTCTCATACTGGGTCTGTGGGCCAACATATTCCTATATCATTTACTAGGAGCATCCATCTCCCATACTGGGTCTGTGAGTTAGCATATTCCCAGATCAGAAGCCCATAGAAACATCTATCTCTCATACTGGGTCTGTGAAGCAACATATTCCCAGATCAGAAGCTCGTTACTAGGAGTTTCCATGTCTCATACTGAACCTGAATATTGCCATACTATTTCCTATTTTTGAATAATGCTTTAAAAGATGCTATGTTCTCTTACAGAGGATCTTATTAATGTTAGTGCACAGCAAGTGTCATCACTTGGTGCATCAGGTGGGAGCTCTGGAGGAAGAATCCGCCTCTGGACCAGAAAGGTGCGCTATTTTAATCACGCAAGCCGAATCGTACAACTCAATTACCGTCGAGACAAAATAGGGTTTTGATTTGTGGACGTCAATAAAAGTGCTTTGACAACACCGTCAGAAAACAAGCGGAATTTTTTTAAGGAGACGTGCCTATTGGGTGTCATGGAAACGCATTGATTGACGTCCACCAAAACCTATTTCGTCGACGACGACGATTTCGTACACTACCAAGAAATAGACTCAAAAATATGTAAACTGTGAAATAAAACTTTTTTCTTTACAAAAACGTAGTTGAAGATCACCAGCAAAGGAATCCTTTACGCCAGGGGAAGTCCAGGCATTGGACTGAATGTTGGTGGTGGTGGGGGTGGTGTTGTACAGATAGTGGCCGAAGAAGCTGTCATTGAAGGGTCCACTATTCAAGTCCAACCAGGAGCTAGTAATGGTAGTGTTGGAAGTGCTACTGATGGAACGTTATTCATTCTAGGTAACCTCATACTTACAATTATACTAAGCTATGAGAAAGTGTTGTTGAAAATTTTCCCCAACCCCTCCCCTGATGTATCACAAACATTTTGCTACCCAACTAATCACACTATGATTCAACTGATTGTCTATTTAATGTGCAGCCATGCAATTAGTACAAATAGGCGGAACACATGCATAGTTGCAATCGGTGAAGCCAACGGTCGCTCGAGGAGGTGTACAATACGGACTTTAAGGTGCAGGACGGCAACGACGAAGACGACGGCAAGCACACGGTAGCATTGCCGGCTGATGCTGAACGTAGAACGTGCAATGTCCTTGTTCTATGCAGCAAAGAAAACGACTACGTAAAAAGCTCATCTTTGCTGATTTTCGTTTTAAGTAAAACGCTGCAAAAAGACGTCATTTCACTCAAAAAACGGGGGTGCTTTATTGAGTGAAACACTAGACGAACAAGAAATAATAATAGAAGGTTTAAGCGTCTCAATTTCACTGACATTTTCGCCCGCTTTGCTGTCCTTCAGCTTAAGGTCCTTAATCGAGAGGTGACGCGTTTGATTTGTTTTAGATGAATAGACAAAGAAAATGTTTTCCCAACCTCACTTCCTTCCAGTTTGGCAAATCAGGTAGCTTTCTGCTCCCTCTACTGCAGACTTGCATTTTCCCCATAACTTACTATTTACTCTATTGTGGAACATAATTGCATATTAAATATATGTGTATAGATCTCTAGCAGCACGCCGGAATGCAGCACAATTTGGAGAACATGACAATAGGTTTCCAATTCTCAGAATTTTGAAATTCTTTTGTTTTCTCCTTCAAATTGATCTGCTTTGATGTCACATGCAAGTTGCCTATGTATTATCTGATTTGCAGTCACATTTAAATGAACGTTCGATTTTATTTCTTTGGAATTTTTTTTTACGAAGGTCGACAAGATGCCATTTCTTCTGATAAGGTGGAATGGAAGGACGAACCAGCGTACCAGGAAGAAAATTGTACAGATTTAACAGAAATGCCTACCTCATCTGTATTATCGTCATCATCTTCATCTATGGTGGTCCTACAAACAAGTTATCAAACATTATCATCCTTGCCATCATCATCATCATCATCATCATYATTTTATGCTACACCTGAGCCGTCGTCATCGTCTCTGACTTCATCGACAACGTCAACGTCATCATCGCCACCCTCCTCGATATCAACAGCCTTACCAACATCATCTTCACTGATACAAACATCAACACCAGAACCACTACCACTACCACTACCAGCATCATCATCATCATCATCATCTTCAATAATATTATTGGAAACGTCATCACCAACATTGGTATCATCTTCTTCGCCAACACCAACCATAATGGAATTATCGTCATCATCATCATCGTCGTTTTTATTACCATCAACAGCAATAGCAACAACAACAGCATCATCGGTGGCAGCTTCAGTAACACCTACCGACTTGTCATCGTCATCATCATCGGTGGCAGCAATGACATCATCACCGTCAGAAACATCATCATCATTACCTGTGCCATCTTTTATTTCTCCTTCACCACTAGCTTCACCATCATCACACATATCTTCTTCTTCAACTTCATCATCTTCTCTTTTACCTGCCCTACCACAGTCGTCTTCATCATTATCATCATCATCAACATCATTACCATTATTATCATCAGCACTTTCAACTTCGCAGTCTATTTCGACTTTCCAGTCATCTCCATCACCAACATTACAGACGTCAACAGCATTCCCCCAATCTTCTCCAGGTAAAATCCAGGAAAAGAGAGGGAAAACACCGCTTTTATGATTTTTATTTGAATTTATATATTTTTCTACCAAACAGTTCCGACTTCCTTGAATACAGATCAAAGAATGATCCAGCTTTTCTACGAAGTAAAATCAGTGAAGGTGCGTAAAAATATAGAGAATTGATCGAAAGAAAACAAGTAAACAACCTACAAAAATATCATTAAACATATATACAGACACAAATGTATACCGCAAGAAATCGAACAAACCTGTCACGTGTCATTTTCTTGAGAATAAGATTCTTTGTTTGAGTTGTATCCATCTATTTATGTGTCTTCTCATGTGGAACCGTTAAACAAAGAAATGATACTCTAGGGAATGACACGTGGTCTTGAGAAAAAGATTTTTTGTTTGAGTTATATCCATATTCATGTATCTTCTCATGTGGAACCGTTAAACAAAGAAATGATACTCTAGAGAATGACACGTGGTCTGAAATGGGAAAACACATAACGCCTTAGGTAGATATGTCTGCAGACACTCCATGGTTTATGCATTCGTTCATATCATTTAATATTCCTCAAAATAAATATATTTTTTGTAATCTTTAAAATAAACCTTGATGTGTAGGACATGAACTCAACAGAGATGAGAGAGAAAACAGAATTTCTTCTGAGAGAGTTTGAGAATCTGACATCATCCAAGGAATTGTCAGTAGAAGGCATGCAGACGAGTGTATCAGTTGTGATGTACTTTAACAAGATCCTGCTAAAAATGGCTGCATGGAATGGTCATTTGGACTTTGTGAAGGTAATAATAAATAGCAGCAGTAACAATGGAATTAGTGCCTACCACAATGTATTGGTCAATTCCAACAAGTAGTCTATCACCAACGCTGCTTTATGATTGGATGAGCTACTACTAGGCTATAAGCTACAACCTACTAGTAGCGAAAAGTGCCGGCTTTGAAAACGAAAACATTAGTTTTATCTTTAATTCAAAACTTGTTTGTATATGTATATTTGACCGACTACTTGGATTTGACTAAACAATTAGTCCTTTCGCCCTCATGGCCTGTCAGTCAATAGCACATTCGCGGTCAAGGACTAATTGCTACATTGATGGGTTGCAAGCATTCCCAAGAGAGTTAAAAGACAAAAACATGGCGGCCATTGTGATACCGTTAATAATGGATGCTAATGAGAAATCATTTGTTAAATGGTACCAACATGGCCGCGATAACTTAACGTGCAAACGAAGAATATGCTAAGCCTTATGATGATATCTTTCACAGGCCAAGTAAATTTACGCTACTTTTCTGGCTTACAATTGAGTACCGTGTTTCATTTTCAGACAAATGTGACTTCATTATTACACTCTATCGATAATCTTTTGGAAACAAAAGTCAATACAAGGCAGGATATCCAAGACTTCAAGGTATACTGAAGACGTTTGCAATAGACCTAAATCGTTGCATTACAAGGTTTTCTCATTTCAGATCACGTGACATTCCCAAGAGAATAAGATTCTTTGTTTGTTTTGTATCCATTTTCATGTGTCTTCTCATGTGAAACCGATTGTAACCGTTAAACAAAAGAAATAACACCCTTGGGAATGGCACGTGGTCTGAAATTGGAAAATATTGTAACGCAACGAATTAGGTCTATTTTCTATTTCATGTCAGTTGCGGTGCATTATTGAAGATTAACGTCAGCAGGAAAATTCATAAAAAGCAATCTTTGTGTCACCCACCAAGTATTTTTAACGTCTCTAAATGTAATGCTGGGATAGGCCAAATGTGGTCATCCAAGTCAGGGCAAAGAGCAATGAATTATATTAATTTCAGGGCCGTATCCACTATGTTTGAGGCAAGTGAGGCAAATGTGCCTCAAAACGAACCCATGATCTCCTGCAAAACAGCCGATGCTTATTTAAGTGAGCCAACCAATAGGTGTTGCAAATAAGGTGTCGATGAAGCACTAAAAGAAGTGTCCAACTTTCTATTTCTCAGAGCGAACAACTGATACTTGCCATGGAAGGTACTACGTGCGTTGTTATGGAAACCATGGATCGTTTAAATGAAAGCTGTTCCTTCAAGACTAACAACATTGGTGAGTAATTGTATGGCTGACATCGTTACCGATACGGAGGCCATCTTGAATTGTATTGTTTTAATAGAGACATAATGGAATGCCGAGGGGGAAACTATTGGAAAATGTATAGACTGCACAGCTGTCAGGTTGTCTTTTTATATCTCTTTACCCTTTCCAATGAGAAGCACATCTAAAAAGAAATTTGTAATTTGCTAGTATTTGGAAAAATATGCCGAAACACCAAGACTTCAAATTATTTACAAACGTAACCCCGCCACTCTATGCTTAATGAAAAGATATAACTAGCTAAAAACTAGTGTGAGCTGCGTCGGTGTTTCTAATGAAACAGTAATGATGAAAAGGTAAATYATACACCGTGAAAAGATGAAAAAACTTACTGACGTTTCGGACGCTAGTCCTTCGTCGGAGTAAAAGAGCTCTTTTACTCCGACGAAGGACTAGCGTCCGAAACGTCAGTAAGTTTTTTCATCTATGCTTAATGAATTGTCTACGCGTTTGCCCCCTCGGCATCTTATAATTCAATAACAGCCGCCGTATTAGTAAAAAGGTCTACTTAAGCGCTTTTTGTAATGTAAAAAAATCAGAGCGCTTGTAGCAGTAAATATTGGATCTTTTAAAATGATATCCTCTCCCACTAGTTTGACCAAGTGGAATGCTTGTTGTTTCGCAAGTTTCCCCTCTTGCCCTCCCCAATCCCCCAGGGGCCTGCTAAACAGGCTATGATATAATAGCCTATTACGGCCTTTATTTTAAAAATGGTCACTATAGAGGGATGGTGGACATATGTTACTTGATTCTGTCCCCAGAAATCTATGGACTGGCTCAGATAGACACACAAAAGGTCGTTAATATCCCAGCACAAGGGGAGAGTCTCCAAAATCTCCATCAACAAGCAGCGACAAGCACTTCGTCAAAAAATCCTACACAATCTCAGCCTGTGGGTCCATTGCTGTCTTTCGAACCAAGAAAGGCTCTTAAGGGGTGCAACAACAGAAGCTGTGACGGTAAGTTCTTAAGACAAACTCATACACACGATGCAAAGTGTGTAGCTCAGTTGATTAGTGCGCGGCCTTCAGAGCTAGAGGTCCACTGTTCGATCCTCAGGATCTCCACGTCTGTTTTGACTTCTCTCTGTTCTGTGTAGCTTTTGCTTCAAATACCCATTAGAGGGAGCACTGATAGTCTGAAGGGGTAAAGGGCGCATCTTTGTACGCTTTATACATGGGCCCCTGGCTTAGGAGAATTGGGCAACCACTCCTCACGTTATCGAAGTGAAAAATTAGTAATTTTAACCTTAACCTTTTACTCCAAAGTAAGGCTATCAATAACAAATTAAACAAATAAGGAAAGTAAACGAATTGAACCTGAGACCGGAGTTTAACGGAGGCAGCATGGTCGAGTGGTCATAGCGTCAGTCTTGCAATCCGGTGGTGCCGGGTTGGAGTCCCGCTGTGGCCACTAGCTGAGACTGTATTTGTCCTGGTCGCTGATTAGTTCAGATTCAGTTTCTCGACCATGCTTGTAAATAGCCAACTGGTTTGCCTCCTTGCCTCATTTCAGTTTATTAATTGTAGGAGGACCATAATAGAAACTACTGGGTTATCAGTAATGTATGTCACCCTCGTTAAATAAAGTCAATTTATCTTTATTTATTTTAGACCCCAGGCCAGATTGAGCTGAGTGACGAGTGTAATATAATACTTGATTCTTAATACCGTTAAGCAAGTCTTGATTCCTAATAAATACATACTGTTGCTAGCTATATTCCTGTAAGAGACTTCAGAGTATTTCTCAGCCTGCGCTCTAGTGATCGATTGATTTTGCAAACATCTCATCTTGAAAATTGGTCATTATTTTCAGGGAAGCTTTTAGCATTGGTTTCAGTGATAAGAAACACACGACTCAACAGACCACAAACTAACGCCAGCACAAGGTAATGAATGCAGTGCTGAGGCTAGAGGTTTTAGATAGGGTATGGGAGAGGAATGGAGAGAGCAGAGCAGAGCAGAGCAGAGCAGAGCAGAGCAGAGCAAAAATGATGCATTTTTTCTTGCATCTCTCTTAACCTTCTCACTAGTGCCCAAGTCAAAAAAGCCGACGTTAATTCTGAAGTCCTGACGGTCCTAGTGACGTACGATAGTCGACCAGTGCATAAGTTAAATCAACAGGCTGTACTCAGGTTTTACCATCAGGTAAGATGTACGCAATATCAGTTGATACTTTGTAGTGGAGGGGAGGTCAGTCCAAGATTTTCAAATTGTGAGGTATGGTTAAAAATAAAAGAATTCTAAAGGACGCTTACGTCAGTCGCCACGCGTTTGGTTCAAATATGGTAAGAGCATCGGACTGTTGTGAGGGAGATCGTGGTTCAAGCCTTGGCGGCCGGAAATAACTGAGGAGAAATGCAGCCTTTGTAACTATTTGTAACTAACGAGTGATCACTCTGTATGACGGTCCCGTCTCTTCACCCTTCATCATTACTAACATTTATATAAATTCTTCTTTTTTTTAAGTTACCAGATAACAGCAAGTTGCCCAGTACCGTAAAGTGTGCATACTTGCAATACACTTCCAGGTAACGTAAACGATATTCCTTTTCACAGTTCCCTGCGCCATTTTGAAAGGAAGCAGTGCCTTTGCATCGAAGTGAGACAAACGGTGAGCTTGCAATGATAGAGACGTGTAAATTATTGTCCAAGGTGCTAAACATTTTACTGCAAGCTCATCACCGTTCGTCTCGCTTCGATGCAAAGGCACGGCTATCTTTCAAGCTGGCGCAGGAACTGTGAAGGGGACTATTAATGTTAATTAGAGTTGTCCCTAAAAGACTGATTGGAATAAAGGCATGGTCGCCATTTTGGTTGACATAACAAAAAAAATCAACTCTTTGGCTGAAACCAAACAAAAATACATGACGTCCACGAAAACCAGTAATAAACAGTATTGGTACCAACCTCATTAACGTCATGTTTTCATCATCTTATTTATTATATTTGTCGCGTACAAATAGTCAATTTTATTATAGAGCAAGTTCACTCCATGTTTGACAAAAATATTCTTATGCGATCGAGGCAAAATGTGTTTAAGATATATAGATATAGATATATGGATTTGGCGGGAACTTTCCGCGCCAAAAATATGCGCGAGATCGCCCCCCCAACTCTAGTTCTCATTACGTCACTTCTCAAGTCACTTTTTTCTTTTAGTAATGATACTGGGACATGGGTTAGTGACGGTCTGTCTGAGATCAGTACAAACACAAATCAAACTGTGTGTTCTACCAATCATTTAACAAGCTTCGCTGTCCTTATGCAGTTTGGTGATTACGAGGTTAGTGTTGCTTTACTTCCGGTTCTAGTAAAATGACGTCACGGGTATGACGTTATCAGATATTTTGAAAACGATATTGAATCGTTCGGTTTTATTAGACGGTATTTCCCCTTCACTGTTCTCTGCGCCATCTTGAAAGGCAACCCGCGTACCTGCGCATCGATTTGAGAACGGGGGGTGAGTCATTTTAAGAGGATCTTAATAGTCATGGAGCAGGGAACCAAAATATCCGTTCTGAACATTTTTGTCCAAGATCGTAGGTTCTAGTTTTTTTATTTTTGTTTTTTTTTTGGTAACGTATATCAGAAGATATATTTTTTGGACAATTGTACTTTTTTGTCCAAGATTGCAAATCCTCTCCCGTTTTGCAACTGGCTATTGTTTCCATGAATATTGTGATGTTAAAACTCAACTGTCTTTCCCAGCTACCTGAAGTACACGTCAAAGCAATCAACTTCATCACGTATGTTGGTAGTGCCATCTCATTGGCTGCTTTGTTGATAACCATCTTTGCTTACATTGCCCTGGGAGAGTAAGTAAATGCAGTTGTATTGGGTAACCTGTGGTCTTGTACACAGGGTTCCCATAATAATAGAATAATAAGCCTCTAATGAAGAATGCCAAGTTGTATCACTTTGCAAAAATGTCCTTTTTTGCGTACGAAAAAAAGCAAATTAGTTGAGAAACTAATTCAGTTAGTTATGATTGACATAATCACATGACTGTTATTGGATGGCCCAAAAAAAAAAAAAAAAAAAAAGGGGGTTCCTTCATTAAATAACTTTTGCTGGATCACTAATGTCATATCCAAAATCTTTTCAAAATACTTTTTTCCCTTATAAGATACTTTCGATTTCAAGATTCGAAGCAGTTTAAAGTTTGTTTGCAATCCAGCAGAAACACTTTTGGCTGAATTGATTCGTTATCAAAGTGATATATCAGCACGTGACTGTTTGTTGCAAATGGCCTATTAAAAGCCATTAGATCTCTTGCAGCACGTTGGAATGTAGCTCAATTTGAAGGACATAAAAATAGATTTACTGAAGATTGAAATTATTTTGTTTTGTTCTCCAAATTGAGCTGCTTCCATGTCACCAGTGGAGCTCCGCTTCGTAAAAATCACAGATATTAATCGTCGTACTTTTCCCTTTAGTGCAATATCAGCCAGACGATACAAGATTCATCTGAACCTTTCCATCGCGTTAGGGCTGGCACAAGCTGTGTTTCTAGCAGGAATCGATTCCACCAAACATCCGGTAAGTGAGCAAGCAACAATAACTTTAAATATTATAGTCACTATTCTAAAGACCTATTTCGTGTTCCAATCTATCCCTTGAGCCGAATAACATTCTTTGTTTGATATATTCTAAGTATCTACAATAAAAACGAATGCTAACGAGATATGCAGAGGAGAAAAATGTGCTTATCCACGTTGAGGACAGCGGTATTCGTGTTAATGTAGGAAGGTGCACCACGCCGATGGGGTTGGGTGGGAGGGTCATCACGAAATTAGGAAGCAGGGTGGTGTGTGCTCGGTTTCGTATGTGAATAGAGTTGTTTGTTGTTCCTCTCCTGTGCTTCGAGGGGTTTTTCTCCGGATTCTCCGGTTTTCCTCCCTACACAAAAATCAACTACTAAATTCCAATTCGATCTTGGGCTTTCACGTAGCATGGATCTCTCAGGGTTCCGTTCGTGATTGTCCCACTCTGTGATTACAGCCAAAACTGGTAGATTTTTTTAAACTCTGCTGTTACAAGAAACAAGCTGCAACAAAGGCATGGGAGCTGCTAAATTTATAAAGCGCAGTTCACTGTCAGAAATCGCAGATTTATGCAAATTAGTCGTCTTTATTTCCGCTAATATTGTAGGCTGTTACGTTTTTTTATGTCTGTTCTGTTCTGTGTTCAGGTTGTGTGTGCCGCCATTGCTATTCTTCTCCATTATCTGTACTTATCAGCCTTCTCTTGGATGGCAATAGAGGGTCTTCATTTGTATTTCAAAATCGTGACGGTTTTTAACTCTGAAGGAATTAAGCTCAAGTACTATGTGATGTTTGGCTGGGGTGAGCATATGTCTATATATGGCACTATGACGTAATTTAACCAATAAAAACACGTGCAACAATTGGCTGTACCAAATTCAACCAATCACATCAATGCCAATTGACTAACAAATTCATCCAAACACGACAGTAATTGACTTGACCAAATTAATCCAATCACGGCACTAATAGGCTATACAATGCAAATTCTACTATCATCACACACACCAAATTCAGCCAATCACAGCACACCATTTTCAAAAAATATAGTTATTCTTTATTTCCCTTTGTGCAGGTTTTCCAGTTTTTCTCGTTCTTATATCAGCAGCAAGTAACCACGAAGGCTATGGGAAAGGAAAAACGTAAGACAACATACCTTTTCTTCAAAACTATCCTTTCGGCTTATTCTTTGTAAAAGGCTCTTTACAGTTAACGGTCACGTGTCTGTACTGGTGAGCAAAATCTTTCATTTTATTTTAAAGTGGTGATTCTTTTTGGCTATACTTGTAAAGAACTGAATGAAACGATGTGTAACCAGTGTGTTACGAAATGCAGTTTTATTACGATCTCTCGAAACAGGTTGTAGAAAGTTTGTTTGCTCACCAGTATATTTCACCCATGGGAATCAAGATGTTCATTCATTTGCTSTCAGTGAATTACTCAGCACGTGATTACTGAGCTGCAAAGGGCCTATCTTAATTGAAATCAAAACTGGTTTTATTTGACGTCATTTCCTGTCTCGTGCAGAATGTTCATCAGCTGAATCAGTTTTGAATAGAAATCTTTCTGGTTGACAGGACATGGTGGTCAGTCGTTTGAATTAAAACACCATTTGGAGTCGATAATGATAATCATTTATAGACTCTTTTCAGCCGATTGAAACCTAGAAACCGTATTCCAATCCTTTTTAAATTATTTTGTTTCAATTTTCCACTAATTGCGGCTTTGAGTAATGGGTTTCCTTGTTTCCCGTAGATGCTGGTTATCAATGGAAGAGGGATTTCGATGGTCGTTTATTGGTCCCATAGCTGCTATGATTGGGGTAAGAAGACGTTTAGAAATGACATCAGAGTTCTCGGTTTCCTTCCTCTGTAAAAAACAATATGTGAGTTAAGCGTGTGCATAAAACATTAAATGTAGTGGTAGTGCGTGTGAGTGATAAGTGTTCCCAATAAGTGCCAGCGAAAGCGCTTAAATGACTAGACACTTGATAAAATTAAGAGATTAATCATTTATTTTGTTAGTTCAACTGCATTATATTGGTATTAACGTTGAGAGAGCTTCTTTCACTGAACAAAGATGCTGGTGGAGATCAAAAACGCGTCAAGTAAGTCAAATATGTGGGATAAAATGTAATTGACGGACAATTTTCACTACAATAGCAATCTTTTACCAAAACCAATTCAAACTAACCGTGAAGATTAACCTCTGTGCTGATCTATGTCAGGACACGGCTAACCCACAGATCAGACCCTGAAACAACCTCTGGGTTGATCTAAGTCAGGGCAGGGCTAACCCACAGATCAGACCCTGAAACAACCTCTGGGTTGATCTAAGTCAGGGCAGGGCTAACCCACAGATCAGACCCTGAAACAACCTCTGGGCTGATCTAAGTCAGGGCAGGGCTAACCCACAGAATCAAACCCTGAAACAACCTCTGGGCTGATCACTAGAACTCTTTTTAGCGAGCGCCTTTGTTTTCCTATACAATTTCCTATTTATAAACGCGCGCGAAAAAAAAATGTCATAGTGTATTTTTGGTTGCTTTTATTCATCTCCTCCCCTTGAAGTTGAATTTACGATTGTCTTTTCTCTTTTTCTAAATGTCAAAAGAACTAGTTTCAAGGCCACCGTTATTCTGCTTCCTCTTCTCGGCACAACCTGGTGTTTTGGTTTCTTTGGCTTCAATTCCAACACCATTGTATTCCAGTATCTATTCGCTCTTTTCACATCGTTACAAGTAAGTAGAGTAATTTGGAACTCGAAAAGGGTCTATTTTTATCTTTGAGATCTGATTATAGTATCTATTGTTCTTTTAGGGATTATTTATATTTTTGTTCCATTGCATTGGAAATACCGAGGTAAGAAACCTTAGTGATTTTAACGTTCACTTAATTAAGGGGAACAGTCTTTCTGAGTCCTACGATTAGCAGCTGCATAAGTTACTTGATATACTGCACAGATCAGCCCAATTAGATAGGATAAAACTTGTTTGCTGTGCTGTTGCAGTTATAAAGCACCCTTATTTCGTGTTCAGCCATTCCCGTGTTTTCTATTTCCCCAGTAATTTTGTCTACCTTGGGTACAAACAACATCATATAAGGCATGATGAATAAAACATGTTTGTACCCAAGCTAGACCACAATGAACCATTTTCGCTATCTCAGAAAAGGCTATGACTTTAAGGAGGGTCTTATCTATTCACCAGCTACGGTTGCTATATGGAAAAGATTCAAATATATGAGGTTTTTCTTATATCTTGAGCTCATAGATAAGACCAATTTTTGAAATGGATAGTTCTCTGATATGTGTGATGACGTCATTACATAATTTATGACGTCTTTTTTTTAAACGTGTATTTGGTCGGTTTGACCAAAAATAGAGCAAAACTATAGTTGAGATGAATTGAAAAAAAGTCAAGCATGGGCTTTACTTTACGTTAAGAGGTCTTGAAAAGATTTAAATTTAAAAAAATTTTGACATGACTTGGTAGCCTGGCCTTTTCACCGTTTTCATAAGTAATGCCAAACACGTAAAACATAAGAAAAGCCTATTAAAGATTCCATAGCAACCGTGGCTGGTAAATAGGTAAGACCCCTCTTAACGTTATTGAAGTCTTTACAGCGTGAAATCACATGTACTGCGCATGCTCATCAAGTATTCAAATATAGGCTGCGCATGCTCATTTATACTGTTCTAAGAATAGATAGGAATAAATTTATTGATTTTTATAATTCAGGTCAGATATGCTTTAAAAAGACTTCGAGAAAAGCACTCAAGCAGGATATCATACATGCTGAATGTAGGTACAACAGCAATTAATTCGTGAAATGCATTTGTCCCGGGGGGGGGGGGGGGGGGGGGGGGGGGGGGGGGTACTTCGCCAGAATTTGGGTAGGGGTGTTCCGCTGGGATTCTTAAAGGGGTACCCTTGTTTATGACAAAAAAACTTAAATTTGTAGACCCTGTTTATGACAAAAAAACTCAAATTTGTAGACCATGTTCATGATAAAAGATATAATTTATTGCACTGAGTTCCTGTTTCAATTATCATGTCATCTCGCGTATCGTTTTTTTTACGACCATGGTAACCAGTTTCGGTCAATACGAAAGTAGAAACCCTGAATTTGACAGGAAACTCAGGAAGAACTTGGAACTTGAGTGAAATTGCATACCCTGTTTATGACAAGAAGCTAGAAAAACCATACCCTGTTCAGCGGATCATCCCCGTATAGTCTATATATGGGAATACCCCCCCTTCCCCCCTGGGGTTATTTGTATTTTGAAGTTGCCCATTCATTAATTTACTGTTGGAATTTGTGAATATTGGGGCAATGAAACGAGGCTAACTCTGAATAAAAAGGAACAAAGCTGTATTTTACGAATTCGAACAAGGTTTAGATAATTTGTTTATTTATTGTTTTATTTGACTCTAGGGATTGCCGCCAAAAAGTCATGCAAGTCACAACGATAGTGTTTTTAAAGGTAATGTACTGATTTCCTTTCAACCTGGTTTAGATTTAATTACAGATCAACCAATACTGTGGCTCAGTTGACAAATTTCGTATAAGTGTGAATCCATACGGTAGATTCGTAGTCGTGACTTTTTATATCGTAGCCATGACCATAAGATGGGATTAAATGAATTACTCTAGAAGCCATTTCCATGTTATGGGAGGTCGTACCGTGTCGTCGTGTACGATATTCATCCTCATGGGAAGCCATTTCGAGGCTACAGTATGTGGTATCGTGTATGTGCTATAAGTCAGTACCATACGTTTCCTACTCAGACGATAACCATTCTTATGGGAAGCCATTTCAATGTTACAGCATGTCGTACCGTGTGCGTGCTGTAAGTCACTAACGTATGTTTCCAACCCAAACGATAACCATTCCACTGCAGTTATGGGGAGTCATTTCCATGTTACAGCATTTCGTACCGTGTACGTGCTGTAAGTCTCTATCGTATGTTTCCAACACCTCCGACAACCATTTTTTGGGAAGCCATTTCAATGTTACGGCATGTCGTACCGTGCAAGTGCTGTAAGGTATTACTATACGTTTCCCACTCTTACGATCACCGCTCTTTGCCTATTTTTTTCGCGTGCCCAGTATATAAAATCCCTCTAAACGCCATCGTGCCTCACAGACCTTTGTTTCTACCTGTCCAACCACCCAGATTGAGCTTTTCCTGCGTAAAGTGCCCACCGTTGGGCTCTCATTTAAAGCACATAGTGCCGACGTTACATAACTATACATTTGATTTTCTTTGCAGAGGACAAACCTGACATAAAGCGAGACAGTTGGGTCTCTCCGAGCCCCGACCACAAGAACAGTAACGAGTATGTATAAGAATGAGTACGTATCTGGGGTTCTAACATATCAGTACTAACACTAACATTATTTATCTATTTATTTACTATTTTCTCATTGTCTATTGGATTGCATCCCATATATCGGTGAAAAATTTGCACCAATTAGTAAGTTTAGTAGACCTCAGTAGACCGTAGACCTACAAAACTTTGCACTAACTTGTACAATTTCGTTAACATTTTTTCACATACATATGGTATGCACTCTAGTATAACTTTGATAGGAGCTTTGCACTAACACTAATGTCTGTAAAGAAAGACACTGTTGATCATACATTTGCTACCATAATACATTTTCTACCATACAACATTACAACATTTGCTACAATACTACATTTGCTACCATACTACATTTGCTACCATACTACATTTGTCTACCATACTACATTTGCTACCATACTACATTTGCTACCATAC